CATCAAATAAGAAATAAAAGGGAAGTAGTTTTACTTAAGATCTAAAGGATTTTAAGTGCTACAAAGGATCTTAGTGATCATCTAGTCCTAGAGGTTCCCAAACTCCTTTAAAAAAAAAATTACTCAGTGGCCCCCTTGAAATCTTTAACCCTTTGATGGTTTAAAAAAAAGAATTGCATCATTTCAAAAAAATGAAAACTTTTAAAAATGACACATCTTAAATTTAACAATTTATTGTAAACTTGTGGGTTATTTCCTACATTGAAATTCTGATAACACAATATTTTGTCATATAACCGTATCATGTTGTATTGTAAACAAATCATTACAGGCACATATTCCTGCCAATCCATGATGGACTATATGTTTGCTTGTTAAGACTTGTCTGGACTTGACCACTGATCAGTCATAACCTGAATTTTGGGTATTTATTTGGAAAATAACATAATCACTATGACTTTAACTAGATGAAACACGTATGAAAGGTTTTTCAAAATTTTCTTCTCTTCTTTCCTTATGCTTCCACAGCCCCCTTATTTTTATTCAACATTCCCCAGTTGCACCCAAGGCTACTACCACCCCCCTGGATCATCCCAGAGCCCTCCAGGGGGCAGTATTACCCACTTTGGGGACCTCTGACCTAGTCCAACCCCTCTCATTTTAGTGTTGCACACTTTTTGTTCTAAAATCATTACTGTGGGGGCAGCTAGGTGGCGCAGTGGATAGAGCACCAGCCCTGAATTCAGGAGGACCTGAGTTCAAATCCAGCCTGACACATAACACTTAATAGCTAGCTGTGTGACCCTGGGCAAGTCCACTTAACCCCATTGCCTAGCCAAAAAAAAAAAAGGAATGAAATCATTACTGTGCCTATTTTTTTGAATTTTGCATTAACCTTTTCCAATTACAGTACATATTATATAGCATAATATATGGTACATAATATAACAGTACGTAATATAATTACCAAGCATTATATAATTTGATCTTCACAACAACCCCATAAGGTTAGTAGTAAATTTTACGTTTCCTTATCTTCAGTCTAAAGATGAAAACACTGAAGTTCAGGAAGTTAAATGACTTCCTAAGTAAGTCAACAAGCACTCATTTAGTACCTACTATGTTCGAGATACTATAATAAGCACTGGACATATCAAGCTCACAAGTCTAATAGGGGTGACAACATGAAAACGACAATGGATAAACAAGAAACAGATACAGGAAGTACAGAGATACAGGATATATACATGCCTATATATCCAGTATCTCTCTATCACCTATTATCTATTCTATCTCTGTATATCTATGTATCCTTTATCTATATCTACATTACATACATAGAAGGGACTGGAGTGGGGAAAGACTTGAGGCTTAGGAGAACAATCAGCAGGCTACTGAAATAGTCCAACTGATGAGAATAGGTTGTAAACCTGGGTCACTTTGAGGATCTGGTACTACCCTTGACAAAACAGGCAATGCAATTAAGACACTGTTAGTAACTTTGGTGAGAGCAGTTTTGGTTAAATAATAAGGTTGGAAGCCATTTTGTAGAAAGCTCAGAAGAGAGTGAAAGCAGAGGCATCAATTCTGGACAGCTAAAATCAAGCTTAGCCATGAGGAGATATGTGATGATAGCTAGTAAGGATGGATAGATCAAACAGGGTTGAGAATGAGGTAGACATTGGCATATTTTTAAACAGTCAGTAGACAAGGAGACACTGAAGGCAAGTGAGACAGTAGGGACGAGGGCGCAATCTGCTGGAGAGGCTGGGATGGCATGGAATCATTTGTGTTTGTAGAGAGGGTTTGCTGCTGGGTTGAGTGGGACATTCAGTCAATTAGGGAGATGTAAAAGGATGTCTTGCTGCAATAAGAGCCCATTTAAAATCATGTCATAATGCAGATAGCATGGACCTTCAGTCCAAAGTTACAATACAGATAAAATTCAAATATTTACAACTGGAAAGGCCCATTTAGAGATCAATTAGTCTAATCTCCACATTTTACAGATGAAACTGAGGCCCATTTACAAAGAACATGGTACACATTTTAAGGCAGCAATAATTCTTTTCTCCTCCAGGTAAATTTTGTAGCCACATCATTGTTTACTAATATGAATTGTTGAGCCATTACTTCATTTCAAGAAAAACTGATATGAAAATACTCCATGCCAAATGAATTAATTTCCTTTTTGATAAGGTTTTAAGACTGGTAGATGGGGGGATCTAATAGAAATAATTTAGCAGAGCATAGAGCATAGATTTATAGCTAGAAGGCACCTCAAAGGTCATTATAGGGATTTTAGCACCAAAAAACTTAAATGCCATTTTTTTTGGTGGGGAGGGGAATGATGGAGACTGGGTCTCCTCATTTTTTCAGGCTGAAGGTGCAGGGAGGCATCTGTCAAATCAATTTCAATACTGATTAGCATAGAAGCTTTAGTTTACTTAGCTTCTGCTCCTGCTTAGGCAGCCAGAAGCTCAGCATACTACTGCTGGACTTAGTGAGGACACCCAACTGGTTTCAGCCTTACTGCAGTTCAGATTTCCTGAACCTAAGTAATAAACCAGCTCCATCATTTCCAGCATCAAGGACTCAGGTTATGTGCCACTACACCCAGCCTACCATGTATTTAAAAGGAAAAACTGCTCACTGTCCATAACATTACTGGGATACAGTATCATCTAGAGGAGGGCATGTTTGCAAAAAGATAGGAGTGGGAAAGAGGTTTAATAAGAAGAGGATTTTGATAACCAATAAGAGTTTAAGAGGGCATAATAGAAGGGTAAGGTGAAGTCCATATATATAAGCTAAACTAACTATAATTAGTCAATACAAAAAGGAAGGTAGGTCATTATTATAATGATCTTCAATCTAGTGGTCACAGAAGAATGAAGGGGAGCTAGAAGGAGCTATGTTAAATCTGCTGTTTGGCCTATTTGGAAGCAGTATGGCATAAAGTAGAAAGAGAACTAGATACAGAGTTAAATCTGCTGTTTGGCCTATTTGGAAGCAGTATGGCATAAAGTAGAAAGAGAACTAGATACAGAGTCAAAGAACTTGGGTACAAACACAAGTTGTTACTACCTATATGACCTTGGGTGATGTCACTTAATCTCTCTGTAAAATAACGGGGAAGGGTTGGATAATGACCTCTGTGGTCCTTTCCACTCTAAATCAATAATGCAGATGATGTACTGATGATGAACGGCACTCTCCAACCAATCGTTTAGAACTTGCAGCTGCTCTCAACTTCTTTAAACCTATCCTCTGCTCTCGGACAAAGCAGCATAGTACCACAGAAAGAACACTAGATTTGGTTGGAGTCAGAAGATCTGGGTTTGAAATCAACTCTGCTAGTTATTACCTATGTCGCCTTGCGCTTAATCTCTTTGAGTCTCTTAGTTTCTCATCTGTAAAGAGATTAAACTAAAATGGCCTCTAAGGTCCCATATGGTCTATGATACTACCCAAAATGCTCCATACTTAAAACCTTCGGGAGTCCTGGTCTTCTGGATTGTCACTCATTCCATAACCATTTAATTACCCACCATATGAATGCACTGTGCTAAGTTAAGAATCCTCTTTCTCCCCACAGAAAAAAAAGCTGTCCTTTAAGGATTCAGCGACCATACTCTCTAAACTAAAATTAAGATATGTAATAACAAAGGCTTATTATTTCCTTTATAGGTACAATAGGACAGAATCTGTCCTGTCCTAGAAAATACAAAATGTACTCTCTGATACTACTACCACCACATCAATGATGTGGGGCTAGGATTATCATCTAATTCTAATTAGATTATAATTAGTACCAGAGATTCCCCAAGCCAAGGAAAAGGGCAGTTATGTTCCTACTACACCAGGTTAAAACTCTGAATGAATTTTCCCATAAAAACACTGCTATGAAAGGTGGTTAAGTTCAGGCAACGGATGTTAGAGATAGGTCCTAGATTAGGGTGGTGGCAAGTATAAACAAAGAACAGATGTCAGAGATGTACAGTATAAATTTTGAGGGGCCATCCAAAGTGAAAAAGGGGGAAAAAAGTACTCTGCAGCATAAAGCAGTTGATATTAATAACTGTAATATACATAAAAATGTTTGTTGAGTTGGAGTTTCTTCGCAGTCACTCCAAAAAGTTTCATCTGGTCGCTTAATTCACACTTATTCCTTGATGAACTTCTTTCATTTTTCGCCTTAGCTGTCCCTTGGGCATTCTTTCCTCTATCTTCCCTTGGGAGGCTCATCCATTTCTTCAGATTCAATCCCTCTTCCTAGACGTGGCTCCGCAGCTGGCTCACAGAGCCGCAGCACACAACGGCGGCCAAGCGAAGCAACTTCCCCGAGGTTCCCCCGTTCCACCTGGGTCGTCTTCTGAGCAGGCGACGAAGGGACCTTAGAGACGTGCTCCCCTTCTCTTTCAATAGCTCTTCGCAGGAGGAGTGGGGAGGGAGGCTGAGGAACCCCAGGACTAAGATTAGAGAAATGGGCTTCCCCTCCCCTCCCCACCCTACAAAAGCTAGGGCCAGGGATCGCTAACCATTTCAGAACAAGGCGGCCATTACCTACAGAACCTCCCCAAGTCACCAGCCCCAGGAGGCGCAGAGGAGCCGCCGGGGAAGCACCTGGTCCCGCCCGCCCGCGGCCGCAGGTGCAGGACCAACGTCCAGCCTCCGGACCCTTTCCCGCCCCTCCACAGCAGACCCCCGCAGGGTCCCGAGGTGGGGGAGGGGGCCCCGGAGGCCACGCCGCCCCACCCCCACCCCCGCGTAGTTTCCTCCTAGTCTCCGGGGCTTCTTCGCTCCAGCTGATCTGAGTCTGCAGATCCGTCAGGCGCAAGGGAGACAAAGCGCGGCTTCGAGAAGGAAGGAGAAAGGGGAGAAGGGGAGGGCTCGGAGGTCACCGGCACCCACAGCAGGCTCACCCGGGTCCGGAGCCGGAGGAAGGAATGGCCGGCGGCCCCCGCCCCCGTCGCCGGCCCCATCCCGGGCCCCCTCACCTGCCCAGCGGGCTACCGTCGTCCCACGGGCGAGAGTTGGCGGCGGCCGGTCCCATCCAGGTGGCTGGCCCCTGTCCCCGCTCCCCGGCCCTGCGGCGGATGCGCGTGTCCCCGGGTGCTGCCTCCCGCCAGGCTCTAGCAAGCCTCGACGCCCATGGGAGCAGCGGCTGCCACCCACTTCCCCCTTCGCTGGTCCCGCTCTTTCCCGCCCCCGCCCGGGCCGCTAGTCTTACATGGAAATTGCGCCGGGCGGGACTACTTCCTGCAGAAGCCCCTCCCTCCTCCCAGAGACCCACACTAACCGTTGCTCCCCCTCATCGCGGCGTAGAGCACCACCCTCTTAAAGACTCCGGGAGTCCTCACTTTCGGCAGCGCCAGATAAGTCTCGGACCGGCGGGGAGAGTTAACGGCGGGTTTGGGTTATTTTTTTTTTTCCTTCCAGTTGAAGCGCCCCCCTCCGGCAAGCAATCGTTCCCTCTCTTCTGCGTCAGGTGGGTTGTACATTGCACCTCCTGCGGATTTGGTTGGTGTGCAGCGACGTTAGTTTGGCAGTGGCGGCGAGCATCCCACCGCTGCTGCTAGCAGAGGGCATGTGAAAGGGGTCTTTTCTGTGCATTCTGTTCAAAAGGCTTAAAAGAAAGGGACCTCAGATGCTGTGCTCGTTTTATAGATGGAGAAGCTCTCCTCTGGAGAGCGAAGTGAGCGGCCCGAGGCCAAGCTCCAGTTGTAGTTCGAGGTCGAACCAGTATTTGCAGATGAGCGTCTTGCAGTTGGAGGGGTCGGGGGTGCAATGAGTGCCCGCGGGGGCGAGGTTGGGCTTAAAAAGTTTGTTATCGAAATTTCCCCAGCCCAAAGGGCCTAGTTGTGGTTGGCGACATATACGTAAGTGTTAAGTCAATTTTTCTTCACCCAGTGCTGGAGGTGGGCGGGGCAGAGAGAGAAAAGGAAGAGGAGGAGAGGAGGGAGAGAGGCATTCTGGGTAACGTAGTGCCCCTTGGTCAGCCAGACTACAAAGTGAGTGCAGCAGCATTGTATCTGGGAAGCTCTGCTGCTGTGGCTCCTAAGGATTAATGACCTTGATCGATTTATGCAGGCTATTTAAAGTCCATTGACCTTTCCTTTATTCCCCTAAGTGTTAGCATCTAAAATCCAAAGGTGTTCAGGCTCTGTAAAGGATGACTGAGATTGGGGGGGAGGGAAAAAAGCAATGTTAATTGTTTTGAAATAATTTTTTGATTAAAAAAATAATCCAAGTAATTAGATTAAATTGAATAGGTTTTTTTTTATAAGTGGATATTTCTGGATCAAAAAGCAAGATAACTTTCAGAATAGAAATCGGTCTTTTATGAATAATAACTTAGGTAAGTTTTGATAATGTGAAATCCCCATAGCAAACGATATTACAGACATACTGATTATTGAGAGAGAAGGCAAGGTCCTCATCCGTTATCAAAGCACTGCTCCAGGAGTGGGGAACCTGCGACCTTGGAGCCCTATGTGGCCTTCTAAGTCCTTGGGTGCAGGCTTTTGAATGAGTCCCAAGTTTTACAGAACAAATCCCCCAACCCTGGACTACTCCCTGCCTGACTTTGTACTATGGGAATGCAAACACAAAAACTCAAAACTAACACTCTCTCTCTTCTCTCTCTCTCTCTCTCTCTCTCTCTCTCTTCTCTCTCTCTCTCTCTCTCTCTCTTTCTGTCTTTCTCTTTCCCTCTTTCTTCCCCCTTTCCTTCCCCCCCCCAATTTATATTCATATACAAAGTTAGATAAGAACTTGGTAATAATTAAGGAGTGAGTTTTAACTGGAAAGGTCTGGGAAAGCTTGTCTGAGGAAGTATTGTTAGTATATGTACATAAATATGCAGAGACTTTGGGTGTGGGAATGTGTGAAAAAATGATTATTTACATCAAGTAAATTGCCCACTATTCCCGTGTGTTTGTAGTGGAGGAAGTGAACCAGAACAGGCTTCCCAGAAGGCACCACTTGCATTCTGCAGAAAAATTTTCCCCCATCTTAGAGTCTCACAATCATGAAGTATAATTCATGTGAATTGTCACTGCTGATCTTAAATTACACTACTGCCGTCAAAAGAGATGATTTAAATACTCTCTTCTGACACATACTTATGCATTATTAATTTTTTGAGAAGGGATTAGGAAAGAGAACTGAACATCACAAATAATGAAATTGATTATATCTTAACAGACAGGAAATAACTAATTACCAAAACAGTCATTTCCAAATTAAATATCTGTGTACAACAGTCAGCCCATTGACTGCTCAGAGTAAAGGTCAGTATTAATGTAAAATTATAATAAAGGATAGAAATGAGAAGAAAAAGAAATACTGTCTTCTGTCCTGAAGGGTGGGATGTGACTAGGGAAAAAAACATTTTGCAGAATTATGCTTTTTGGGACTAGGGCAATAGAAAATCTCTGTAAGGGTGTATTTGAAACAAAACTAATAACCTATGAAATTAAAAAAAAACTTTATATGTCTTTTAACACTGGCATACAAACAGGACTGTTTCAATTGATATTTAGTATTCAAAGGAGCACAGTGCACACTTTAACTTCAAAATTAAATTTAGCAGTAGAATTGAGCAATAGGTACTCAAATATTTGTTGATGTTGTATAATGTGTGCTGTTAGAGATATATATACTACCTTTCTCTTTGCCTACTTTTTTTCAAACATAAAAGTCATAGTGTTTTAGTAAAGATTATATAGAGATAGTCAATTGTAACTTAGTCAATGGAATGGTAGCCTTGGAATCTTAGAAGATGTGGATTCAAATACAATACTGTCATTTATTGTCTGTCACTTAACCTCTGTGCCTCAGACAGTTAACTCCTTAGGATTTTACTAATTCTTGGATGATTTGTTCTCCTCAGTTGGTGGAAGGGGTGCTGATGAAATCACTGATCCTTTGTATTTTTGCCTAAGGATTATGTGCCAGATGAATATTAAGATTGTTAATGTAGACCTAGAAGGCCTAGGTAACTCAGAAACACTGTTGCCATCCTTGTTAATCTACAGTGTGTGTATCTCTGCATTTCTGTTAATAAGTGGGCTTGTATTTTTAGTGAGCAAGAGAGGAATAAGTAATTTCATTGATTGGGATGCAGTTTATCCAGAGTGCTTAGTAAGCTTCTGGCACATAGTAGGTACTGTATTAATGCTTATTCCCCTTCCCTTCCCTTTCCGTTCTTACTTATTTTGAATTTTTTTGCCTTCATTATAGTTATTAATGGCAATCAATAAATTTTGGCATTGAGAAACCTTAATTGATTTAGCTGACCTCTCATTGTGATTTACAGATTAAACATTTGAAACCCTCTTCTTCCAATCTACTGGTTGCTTTCTAAACAGGTATGAGAGAGTCACATCACAGTCTGAGTCCTCAGTCCCTTCAACCAACCAAGTCATGAGGAATGCCCCAATAGCTTTTAAGAAAAAACTAGGCTACCTGACTGGGGGAAGGGAGTGGGATAGAGGGTTAAGATATTGTCTCTACTCACAACTCTTAAGGAGCTTGCATTTTAATGTTCCCTGACTCTTTGTAACACTGTGGACCATAGCATGCCAATTCTGTCCATGGGGTTTTCTTGGCAAAGATACTGGAGTAGTTTGTTATTTCCTTCTCCAGTGGATGAAGACTGACAGAAGTTAAGTGACTTGCCCAGGGCCACACAGATGGTAAGTGTCTTAGGCTGGATTTGAATTGAGGTCTTCCTGATTTCAGACCCAGTGCTCTATCCGCAGAACCACCTTTATGTTGGCTAGTAGGAGGGATTAAGTAGAGCTCTAGGTACAGTGTGTTGTCACCCCCTTTTCAGTAGTGTGAACCCCAAGAATCCCACAAACTCTAGTTTGAAACAGTGTCCTCTGAGAAAGAGACAAGCGAAATCAGGGTGTGTGTGTCAAGGTGGCTTGACGTGCATTGCATGGGTGTGCAAAACGGGGGGGCCCAAAACTGGGCCCTCCTAAGGGGGGCCAGTTCAGAACTGGCTCGAATTGGATTTTTGGAGGTATGGATTATATGCCCTTCAAAGAGTAGGTGTTCCCAAGGGATGCCAGTCAACTCTGATTGCCAAAACACTCTGGGAGGTGGGCTATATTAAAATAAGGGTCTTTGAGTATGTGTCCCAGGTCACTCAGTCCTGGTTGAAGAGACATCAATTTTCATATCACCTGTCTTGACAATAGGGAAGAATCAGTATTTTCCGAGACCTGTCTTGCCAACATAATGAGCAGTAATAGACCCATTTAGATTACCGGTGTATTGTTTTGTTTGTTTGTTTTGGTGTGGCGATTGGGGTTAGTGACTTGCCCAGGGTCTGAGGCTGGATTTGAATTCAAATCCTCCTGACTCCAGGGCTAGATTACATCTTAATGTCCTTCTGAAGAGGGACTAAATTTTGAAAGAAAGGGGGGATGGGGAAGCTCTGAGTTTCTAAGGTAATGATTACTAAGAAAAATAATTTTTCACAGATTGCTAACACTGCTGTGATTCCTTCTCCCAGGCCAAGAGATTGAAAGCTGTAGGATGAAGGTTATGTGTACTGTGTAGATGACTAGGTTGAGTGTGATATGAAGAGGACAACTTGGTATGAATGCGTTATATGAGTTTGCATTCACACCCACTGCTCAGGATTGTGGGCAGCTAGATGACTAGACCTATAGTTAGAAAGACCTGAGTTCAAATCCAGCCTCAGACACTTATTAACTGTGTGACCCTGGACGTCACTTAACCCTGTTTGCCTCAATTTCCTAATCTGTAAAATGAGCCAGAGAAAGAAATGACAAACCACCCCAGTATCTTTGCGAAGAAAACCTCAAATTGGGTAATGAAAGAGTGGACACAACTGAAAAACAACTGAACAAAATCAGAATAGCTCAGCCCTAGAATGAAATTTTTAAATTGAGTAGATAAATTTGGTTGTGGGAATGGGTGGGCAGAGGAAGGAAGATTAGATGGTTTAACGAGGTTTGGTCTAAAGAGTCACCTTTCCAGGTGGGAAGGAGAGGGTTGTGGCGAGGCAGATGGTAAGCTACCCAGGTAGTCTCTGGTTTCCGGGGATGTCATGTTGGGGGTGTAAAGCATGGTCTGGGGATGTCTAAATATAGGTACTTGGGTCACAAGATCTGTTAGAATTCCAACTCTTGGTTGAATTCAATTCAGTAAACATTTATCAAGTACCTATTGGGTACCAGACGCTATGCTGGGAATAAAAAAAGAGGTAAAAGATAGTCCTTGCCTTTTACCTTTCTGGCCTCAAGTTTATTCATCTGTAGAAGACAGTGAGATGGAAGGAAGGAAGAGATTTGGGTTAAGATGATTTCTAATGTCCTTTCCATCTGTAACATTCTGTTATTCTGGACACTTTTTTGATGATGGCTTATTTAATTATAGGCTGATATTTTGACTCAATCTGAGGAGATGCACAAAGAGTTTTAGAACCAACACAACTGAAAGGAAATGCAT